GGTGAATGACAGCAGTACGTGTTGACCCCAGAGTTCAGTCCAGCCACCCGACACCTGCCGTCCACACAGCAGTGCAAGAGCCGCCTGAGCCAGCAGAATAGAAGAGAGAGTCCTCAAAGCCTTTTCCTCAGCTCCCTCCACAAGCACTAAACCCAGTGCTGCTCCTGTCACCAAGCAAATGGACACTAATCAAGCCTTCCTGCTGGGCTGGGGGATGTTCCACTAAGTTCTTGAGACTTAATTAATCTCATATTAATTTGATCTAAAGCACAGCCCAATATATTGTTTGTTCATTGCCATTGCAATACTGGGCTTTACTACAATATGAAAATGTATTTTAAAACAAGTTTTTTTTGTGTGTGTTAAGAACTTCCTGAACACCCTGTGGGTGCAGAACAGTTACAATTAGGCCCAATCGCATTTCACCCCTCGCCCCTACCACTTAGCCCTTAGCCCTCCGTTTTGCGCATTCATGTCTAGGGGTAGGGTGTCCTGATTTTTGTTGAGATAAAGAGGAGGGTGAAGTGTTAGAGCTACATGACCCGCCAAACTGAGGGTTTTCAGAGACTCCAAACAGAGTGACATGAGAAAAAAAGAAAAAACTGGCAAGATGGAGAACAAGAGACCAAAGAAACCCACAAATGTGAGAATTATCTCCATTACAAAATTACGATAACCACTGTATTTTCATAGTTTAATATCATTACAAGGTATTATTGTCCCTTTCGCTAACACAGGAGTATGCTAATGTCTCGGAAGCAAGCTAGCTAAATTCCCCGTTCCACCTTGTCCAGCAGTTCTGACGGCTGAAGCACCAGATTTCTTAGCGTCAGATAACGTCTTTTTTGTTTCATAATCCACCAAATGCTTTTAATGGGCGACGGGTCTGGACTGTAGGCAGGCCAGTTTAGCACTGGACTCTTTTACTACGGAGGCATGCTGTTGGAATACATGCAGAATGTGGTTTGGCATTTTGTTCCTGAAATGAGCTCGGGCCCAGAGAAGGCGGCAGTGTTTCTGGATCCAGTTTATATATGGTTTCTTCTGTGCATGAGTTTTAACTTGCATTTTTGGATGCAGTGATGAACTGTGCTCACAGACAAGGTTTTAGGAAGTGTTTCTGAGCCCATTAAGTAATTTCCACTGCAGAATTGTGTCTGTTTTTAATGCAGTGCTGCCTGAAGACCCAAAGACCACCGTCTTGTCCCTTGCATACAGAGATTTTTCTGGATTCTCAGAATCTTTTAATGACATCATGTGCCATAGATAATTAAATCCCCAAATTTTGGCTATTTTATGTTGAGGTTGGAAGTCTTTGTTGGTTCCAGTTAAGCAAGATGTATTTTTTTTGCTATATATATTATGCCAATCCTCTTAACAGATATGGGGTCTAGTGTCCTGACCAGATCAGTACCAAAGAAGTATCGTATAGGTGCAGAGTTTAATGGAATTTCCAAGACCTTGGCAGTCAAATCATGTACCGCTTTCCAAAAGTGTTTCAAGTTCCAAAAACATGGATTATTGAACCAGTACTTGTTTTACTATGATGACATCTAGAAGATGAGTTAGGATACATCCTACTCAAACAGACCGTTGTGAGGTACATCCTGTGCATGAATTCATAATCCTGTGACAAATAGTGTCTCACTGATCATCACTAAAACACATCCTAAATCTTTTTGCCGCACATTCTTAAGTGGCGTCAGGGAAGAGCTGTGATTGTCTAACAAAACTCTATAAAATCAATGAGATTTTCCCTTTCAGTCACACAGAGCTTTCCAAAATCTTCTCCATACTTGACAACCCCAGGGGTAGCTGTCCTTTCCTTTCCTTTCCAGAGTAATAATTAAATGACGAAACGACTAATCTGAGAAAGATTTCAGAGAATCTTCATTAAACAGGCTTTGAAACTTTCTATACCATATTCTTTCAACTTCTTTCTACAGGGACTTCCAATTGAGGGTGGCAAGTCTGGATTGGGGGACATTTTTAACCTAGATATTTTAAAAAAGGAACCACAAAACGTCTTGACATCTTGCCAAGCCTGAAGAATATTGTAAATTACACAGATTCTTGACACATTAATAAACGTGATGCATTTATATCAGGGATGCCCATACTTTTGTGGTTTGAGATCTATTTTGTCCAGTGGACAGGTCATCGTGATCTACCTTTAAAAAATGGTCTCATCCTTTTTTAAAAGCTTTGAAACTCTTTTAATGCACTTCAGTGGCCTATACTGATATTCAGCATTAGAGGGCAAACGACTAAAAAACACACTAACCTACTGTCAGCCGGGTTCGTGTGGTCTGGACCACTTTTATCTTCTTGAGTTCACTTTTAGCTGGGAATTTGTCGTCGTAGTTTCTGTGTATAGTTTGAAATGCCTCTCGACGTTCCCCTTCTTTGGAAGTGCGATGGCTACTTGGCAGATCAAGCAGATTCGTCTGAAGTTTGACACTGTGTAAAAATAGTCCTCCTCCCGCTCAGCATGGTGGAGGTTTCAGTTTCGGTTTCTTTGAGCTCGGTCTCGCACTCGTCTTCTGAATAAGTCAGTGTAGGTTACAAAAGAAAAAGGTAAAAACAAGAACTGCTACCGATAAAAGAAACTTTCTAGACCGTTAGAAAGGCAGACTGACAGCAGTGCTTTAGGCCGGCTGTGGTGTCGCTATGGTAACAAGCTGTAAATTAAAGAGACAGTGGCCACATTTCACGTCGGTCAGTCACATTGACCTGTTGGCCAGAAGCAGTAAGAAAGTGTTGAAATTTGATAGCCTGTTTGAATGAGGCACGATCTACCAACGCGCACCGTGTGGTCGACTAGTCACTCATGATCGACGTTTTGGGCAGCCCTGATTTATATTATTGATAAATGGTAGAGAGGTCAGAGAAGTAAGAAAGCAAAGTTCTTCTTCAATATCTGTCCAGTGAGCAGTTTTACGATCTCATACCAAACCAGTTAAGCCCTTTGTCTGGGCAGCCCAATAATACAACTGGAAGTCCCAGACCACCTTTCTCTTTAGACTTAGTTAAAGGTTTAGAGCTGTTCTGGGTGAGGAGTTTTTCCAAATAAAGAAGCTTGTCAATTTGTTTACAGATTCTCCAGGGTGTATTTTGGTTTGTCCATCTGAATTTACATGACCAAATCGTAAGGCAAATTATTCAGTAACTGCATGAAATGAATATCAATTTTTATTTTATTTTATTTATTAATTTTTTTTTAAAGGCTCCCCTCAAATTAACAGAACATGTGTTTTATGATCACACATACTGCTATATGCTTACAATTTACTGCTAAAAGCCAAAAATCTTAGTATTATTTTATTAAAATCATTTTTACAGAGCAGATCACTGAAAAGACGCCATCTGTTTACAGTTTATAGCCCAGATTTGTGGAAAAATGGGTCGACTTTCAGTAGAAAAAAAAATTCAGCTCTCATACGACCCCCACCTTTTGAATGTATCTTATGAAACATGAAAATTATGAAGAATACGACGAAGTGCGTTTTGGAACCACAAGTGGTCCCAAGAGTTAAAAAGGTTAAAGAATGCATTATCCACATTAGAGGGCAGTGACTGAAAAAGATAAATAAATCAGGGCAATACGTTCATTTTTATCACGTTAATTCATCAGAGAAATGAGATAGATACCTTTTTAAGGTGCACGGTGTAATTTACAATAAACAAATCTTTAACACGTTCACCCTCAGATATTTAAACACACTCTGTGTTTAGGCAAAGGGAGAAATACTCGAGTTTACTAGAAAGTGACGAGCTCAGTAAGAAACATTATTCTGAAAGAGGTATGCTCTTTTTACACCTAATCATGTTACTGACCTGTTGCCAATTAACCACCAGGTGTTTTTTTTAGAATTACACAACTTCATCAGTCTTTTGTTGCTAAGCCCCAGCTGTTTTGAAACATGATGCTGGCATCAAATTCAAAATGGGCAAATATTTTTCAAAAAAAAACAATAAAATTTCTCTGTTTCAACATTTGATAAGTTGTCTTTGTCGTACCTTAAATTAAATACAGGGTTTAAATGATTTGCACATCATTGCATTCTGTTTTACTCACATTTTGCACAGCGTCCCAACTTTTTTTGAAACAGGGATGTAGGTTTATTGTTGTCTAGTGTGTCCAAAATTTCATTTTTACCGCTACAGAAAAGTCATATATATTTCACATGGGAAATGTCACATGGCAAAAACCATGTGTTTACCAGTGATCACACACACTTTTCCCATGTGGTCACAAATGTGATAACACATTTTTTATCACGTGAATTGTGCAAACGCCATGTCTTTGGAAGTGCGATGGCTACTTGCCAGATCAAGCAGATTCATTTGGAGTTTGACACTGTGTAAAAATAGTCTCTAATCTCTAATAGGCTCTGCATGGAGGAGGTTTCAGTTTCGGTTTCTTTGTGCTCGGTCTCGCACTCGTCTTCTGAAAGAGTCAGTGTAGGCTACCCTGTGGCGTAGCTACGGTAAGAAGCTATAAATTGAGACGGTGGCCACATTTCACGTCAGTCAGTCACGTTGACCAGAAGCAGTACGAAAGTGTTGAAATTTGATAGCCTGTTTAAATGAGGCGCGATCCGTGAGGTCGACTGGTCGCTCATGACTGACATATGACTGATTTATATTTTGAAACAGCGTTGTAGGTTTATCGTTTTTAGTCTAGTGTGTCCAAAATTTCATTTTTACTTTTACAGAAAAGTCACATACATTTCACACTGGAAGTGTGCAAAAACCATGGGATCTCACACAATCTTTCCCATGTGGTCACAAATGTGGTAACACATTTTTATCATGTGAATTGTGCAAAAACCATGTGTTTATTCACATGTGAAATGTGTTTTTTTGTACGGGTAGTGTCGCCCCTTCGTTTCTGTGAGTCACAAATACCTAGATACAACCTTTTAGTGAATTAATTAATTCTTTACAAAGTAATTCACTAGTTTAGACATTTAGAGTGAAGCGTGGAGTGAACGCACCTTTGATGGCTGCACAATGACGTTGGTGGATGGCTGTACAGTGTTTGAGGGCTGCATTTTTTGCCTCTGCTCCTCAGGAGTCTCACCTGGAAAACAAGACAACGTTGGTCAATCCAGAGCAGAGTGTCAGACAATAACATGTCATCAGTGTTCTGATGAACCAGAAGCAAGTACTAACAGGAAATGACACTATAGTAAACAAGGGAAGATCTAAGCATAATTCACTGAATCAGCACATCTACAGTAAAGCTTCTCAATACTGTTCTTACAAAATTGGCTTTGAAATACTAATATCACTAAGGCGATAATATGCAAATGAGCCTCTAAAATGCTTTACTGCGAGCATCTTTACAAATCTTCGCATGTCCCAGATGGAGGCCACGGTAAACCAGACTTGCCGAATCGTGCACCAGCCAAAAGGTTGAAATCATTGTTTTAAATTACTTTACGCAAACCGACGCAGACACTCGATATTAGAACAGTGAACGGTGCTTCTCTTAGTGCGCCACTCAGCATTTTGCCATTACCACTTTTAATTAAAGCCATATGAAAACCACAGAAAGACACAGTAGATCACAAGTGGCTTTAAATTTACATAGTAAGTCCTTTGAATAAATAGACAAATGCTAATGGTCTGTGACCTCCACTAACATTGCAGCCTGTTTTTTTCACTTCATACGTTTCAGCTTAAAACCAGCGAGTTTGTTTTGGAGGACTAAACTAATGCCAAGCATAACGAATGATTTTAGGGTTTTATTTATTAAATTTATATGATTAGAGTGTAAAACTTAGCTTGGAGTTTCTGATACCTCTTTTTTCCCTGCATGCAGTCTACAGCAGCACTCTGCTATGTAATGCTACGCAGCCCTACAAGTGTTTCTGAGGGTGTTTTGATCCTTTTGATCAAAATTACACAGGGCAGTATTTAACCATTCACCTTTAATATACAGGGTGATTCAAAATGATTCTTCTGATCAATGCACCATAATTTTACAACCGTGAGGCGCCGAGGAACCAATCACAATCCAATTGAAAGAGGGGGTCATAGAGTTTCTGACTGTCACCAGAAGATGCCTCCTTTCAGTCTGAGAGGAGATGAGACCCCTGAGCAGAAAGCGTTCTGCATTCTCCACTTCAATAAGAGTGAATCCGTCATAACTGTGCAGTGTGATTTTCGTGGGCAGTGAAGCTCCAACAGCTCAGAGCGTTCGTCGTTGGTTCCACAACACTGGATGATCTCCGAAATCGCACTGAAAGAGCCGTGAGTGCAGCGACACCCGACATGCTCAATCCAGTATGGGATGAATTTGACTATGGCATTGATGTTGTCTGTACAGCTGGAGGAGGTTCATACTGAGACCTTGTACAATTACATAATAAACTTTATGCTCATTTAAACCATTTACAGTTCACTGCACTGATCTGTAACGATTTACAAGGGAAATAAATCATTTTGAAATCGGATGAATCTTTCTGAATCACCCTGTATTGCAGGACATATCAGAATTGCAAAATCCAGAAAAGCTGTCGCAATAGGGTACTTGATTTTTTCTAAGTGTAAATAAGTGAACACGTCCTCTACAGAGAACACATTTCAATACACAAGTACTGTTTATTTACTGCATTTAACATATTGGAAGGAAAAAAAATAAAACATACATTTTTGGCTTGTGCAAAGTTATGGCACATTTTATACTGTATGCATGTATATGTTTCCAAAATGTTAAAAGGCCCATATAATGGAAAACTGACCTCCTTCATTAAAGTAATATGTAAACACTGTTAAAGTTTCAAAATACCCCAGTCCCTACCCGGCCCATACACAGCCCGTTTTTAACTCACTGCTTTTGTGATGTCACAAGAACAAATATATTTTCATATCACTGCTATGTGAAAAAAACCTTGTATCTCCATTTTTGTCGTTTTTCAGTTTCTATCATTATTTGAAAATACCCATTGTCCTTTACACTGTGTGTAAATTTCATGAAGAATGGACCAAAACTAATGACCCAAAAGGGCTTGGAAAAAAGTCTGGTTCCATTGACTTACATTAAAAGTAAAGTAGGTTTTTTCCTTCTCCTGTAAAGTTACCATTTTGGAGATGCGAGGTTTTGTTCCGACGACAGCGACACATCCACTTATTCAGCACACTGGTTTTTAGCTCCACCAATTCACATTGAAGTTCTACAGAGCACTTTTTGACTGAGGCCCAATAAAGGTCAGTACAGAGGTCATATACAAACACCAGACTTAAAGGCACAGCCTGTGGTCACGTAAAAATGAATTATTGTTTTTGGTATATAAAACCAGGCAAATGTTATTGACTGGGAAAAAAAAGGTGTAAAAGTGGAAAAGATGAAAAGACACAATATAGGAAAAATGGAGAATATGGGTCCTTTGAACTCAGTAAATGGACAGAAATTGTGCACTAAAATATGCAGAAAAACTGTACACTGAAATCAGTGCCCTGTAAGGGAAACGTTCATTTGTTTTCACATGTCATTTGACTGGGTGTTCAAACTTTGGCACATGACTGTATGTGTTCAGCACAAGGTTTCCCAATCATGGTCCCGGATTAGCTCAAGTGTTTTCCCGCTCTAATACTCTCAGTTTAACCTCATGTAGTGCCTGGTAACCACGCAATGAGCTGATTCAAGTGAATTAGAGCAAAGAAAAACACATTTCCAGAACAGGGGGAACTAAAGAACAGGGGGAACTAAAGAACTGGGACAGCTAAACACAATGGCGAACCATAACTGCCAAAATAAAAAACCAATAAAATTAAAAAATAAATGACTCAGTAAATTAATATATGAATTAGAATTACAAAGAATAATGATGATAAATTTAAAAATAAATAAATAAACATAGAAATTAATATATTAATAAATAAAAACCTTACATAAATTCACGTCTGCATTTACTTATGTCTATATAATAATTTCCCCTCCTCACTAATAACTTCTATATTTATTTATTTCCCTATTTTTTTAATTTCTGTATTTTCTTGTCCTTATACTAATAAAGGGGCTGTCAATCAATGATGTCATGGCGTCTTATTGGTTCATCGTCTTTTTCTGCAAAATTCAGATCACACCCAGACATCTGGACGCCCTTCTCACACACTGCCTGGGGAAGTCATCGAAAGTTATTTATCGGCAGGTTTGTCTGTCCGTGACACTGCAGTTCTGTTTGGAGTTGGTGAAAGAACAGTTTAATCAACGCTTCTCCTCCTGGTCTTGATTGCTAAGCCTGACTGTGAAAACCACGCCCCCTCATTATCATATGAACGAAGAAATACAGAAATAAATAAATGAATTAATGATGAATCAATAAAGCGATCAATTGTTAAAAATAGAGATACAGAAAAAAATGTAAAATAACGAAATTAAAAAAATAATAAGTAATAAAAATTAAAATAAAAGTTATATTACCTTTTAGGCATTATGAAAAATATATATAAAAAGGAAATGTGTATAATCACAATCACAAATAAGCAATATATACTTTATTTAGTTATTTTTATTTATTGATTAATTTACTGAGTTATTTATTTTTTTTAGTTTTATTTATTTATTTTTTGGGGCAGATGTGGTCCAACACAACACGTTACACAAATTTAATATTTGCGGATTCTTCACTTTACATTTTAAACATACTTTAAACGTAATCATCTACTTAATTAATGTAAACATTTAATCTTTTTAAACTGCCATAACTACACATTTATGAAGGTTGAGCATTGATTATGTCAGTGCAGGCAGATTCGTTCCAGAATCCAACCTCCAGTCATTCACAACAAGAGCTGATTTACCTTTCCCCTCTGCAACCAGGTCAACAGTGCGGATTACCTGCGCTTAGCGAAGGGTTATCTGAGCACATTAATGGATTACGAAGCATTAGCTCTTCTGGGTACTTACGAACACAATTCATTCTGGCGGTTAATGGAAAACAGCAACACTTCCGGATCGCCCACAAAAACATTCCCATTCCGCCAGCACAGCGCTGTCAGGGGAACTGTGCATTATACGCCACCCATGTACACACGATCCCCTGCAGATGTAGGAACATCTAAAATAAAATAATCTAGAACTTCTATTTCCATTAATACTCTTAAGGAGTGTTTCTACTGTTTTATTTCCGCTAGGATTTCCCCCAAACACACCGTCCTCCAGGGGCTTCTGACACCGTGACTCAACCCACTGCTCAGGGTACAGCAATTATCTGTGGTGAGCCTTTGTTCACCACGACACCTCGCAACCAGTAACTCGCTAGACTCCCTGGTGTCCATGGAGCAAAAGGCTCCACGGACGAGTCACAAGCGTCTTCCACAAACTGAAGCAAGGGCCTTAATGACGCTCCAGGATTAGGTGCTCATTTCCTGAGAGTCACATCAGGATGAAACAAACAATGTGAGGTGTGGCAAAACAATGTAAGTCATGAATCACCTCCACACTACGAAATACAAAAACTCACCCGCTGCCAACTTTTGTCGGGAGGTGGTTCACAGTTCTCAGTTTAAACCTCATTACATCATTGTTTTCTGCCTTTTTATTATTTTTAATATCACTGGAGTACGACAGCTGTCCTTTACCCGGTGCTATGATATGACTGGTCCATGATGAATGGACCAAAAGTGAAAGCGAACATTTCATTAATGAATTAATACCTTAACCTTTTCAACGCTTTGAGACCACCGGTTGTCCCAAAATGCACTTTGTCGTATTCTTCATAACTTTCATATCTCATAAGCTACATTCAAAAGGTGGGCGTCATATGAGAGCTGTAACTGTCTTCTATCCAGTCAAATAGAAAGTGAAAGTCGACCCATTTTTCCACAAATCTGGGCTATAAACTATAAGCAGATGGCGTCTCTTCAGTGATCTGCTCTGTACAAATTATTTTTATAAAATAATACAAAGAGCGTCTAAGATTTTTGGCTTTCAGCAGTAAATTGTAAGCATATAGCAGTATGTGTGATCATAAAACACATGTTCTGTTAATTTGAGGGGAGATTTTACAAAAAATAAATAAATAAAATAAAAATTTACATTTATTTCATGAAGTTACTGAATAATTTGCCTTA